TTTGCATTTTATCATTCGAAACAAATTTTATACTTCCATCTCATAACGCAACCTTTCCCTCCTGTATAAAATAATTTACATGATAGTTAAATGATTACTCTTATGCCTTCTATTTAGAGGTGCTGATTTTAGGGCACAATGAAATTATACGTGAACTATTAATTCAAAATCAATTTTAAACTGTAGATTTGGGTCCAGCAGCTACCTTAAGGGGAAAAAGAAAGATAGTGCTACACCCAGATCGATCTAAATAATCGAAAGTTCCTTGAAAATGCGAAAATGCATCTTTTGCAAAATTTTCTGTCTTAATTTCGCTACTTTCGGTTTTTAGGGGACGGTGCTTAAGGCCGGACCCGTCTTGGTGTAATTGTGATAAATAAAAGTAATTAAATAATAATTATTCTAGCAAATTTAGCTAATGTCGTAATTTAAATAATTAAATTGATTACGTTCTCTGTAGGGCATCGCTTGCTGCTCATAAGGGTCAAATTCTAGCAATCGTATAACTCAGTAACTGAAAATCAAGATATGTTTAAAGAAGTTTGCTTTCTTTCTGTTCAGTTTTTTTTTTTTCTAAAAGTCGGGCAATAATATTGAATTCTCTAAGTTTGCTCAAATTAAAAGAAAAAACTTTAAAACTAGTCTTAAAATTCCAGAACTGTATTTAAATAGGCTTGGACTAGATGTGTCAAATACATGCGTTTAACGATGGTTTCATTTCAAGATATTTGGAAACTGTTTCTCATTATTTGCAGGGCATTCATATTTTCATTAATGGAAGAGAAACCGCATTTTCTTCTCGACAAATAAAGATTTTCGATCAGGTCAACTCTTTTCTGCCAGTTTTGCTCAGCTCCTTTCAAAACAGTTCTATTTAATTAATGCCAAAGAATAGAATAAATATTCGAAAGTGTACTGATTTCAAGTCCAGCTATTATTACTAGAGTATTTTGAAATTGTGACATCGAAGTAATCTTTTGCATTATCGAAAAATAAGCTATCAGTACGAACTTAGAAAAGTTTAAGAACGCTTTTGATAATCATGTCTGTGACGCAATAACCATGTCACGAGGAACTAAACTTCAAATCGTATAAAGAAATATCATAGCCTTATCACAACGTTCGCTTAAATGACAGCAACACACACTGATCGAGTCGGTTCTAGATATAAAGCACGTCGTGGATGATAATTTTTCCAACAAACCAGGTACCAGATAAAAGAGAAAACTGTTATATGTTTCTCAAATTCTGTGGGGTTAATCCTATGCTAAACGCAGTCTCGTGTTAAATTATGCGTATGTTCGATCGCGGGGTAAATGAGGAAATAATATCATTAAGTACATGCATTCATTTAACTGTGAATATGTTAAAGCATTTCACAGCTAGATAAAAATCCTCTGAATGTCTAGCTGTATACATAAATATGTCCTAGAAAATTTTTTGTAACTATTTTTAAAAATATTTTTACGTGCGTACGGGTCCGTGATGGACTGAATGCACGGAGAGCCGATGTCAGCCTGATAAAATTTATTTCCCCAAAAGAAATACTTTAGAGGTCTGGAACTTTTTACAAAAGTTCCTGTACATCTTTTCTAAGTATGACAGAGCACAATCAGTAGTTACCACTTAAAACAGCTAACAATGTAGCTTTAATGCATAAGCTCGCAGCAGAGTCGTAGCTAAAGTTTTCAGCGCCCAGGGACAACTGAAGATTTCGCGCACCCTACTGCTTGCCAAGGATGGAAAACATTTAATTTTAAAATATCGTAACATCAGTTTGGCGCCCTTTGGATTCTGCGCCCGGGGACAGATTCCCCCACTTGCCCCCCTCTAGCTACGCCCCTGGCTCGCACAGCGAGCTCTCTATACTCTCAGTACACTGAACTGATCCTCTTTTCGGTCACATACAGTTTTCCCTCATCCGATAAGAAGTTTTCAGTACCTTCGATTTCTCGAAGTTACTTAAAAGCATTAAAGACAGACAGACAGACAAAGTAGACAGATGTCTTTTGTTGCACCCGCTAAGTCTTTCTGTACCGATGGGCGAAAAATCAAGCATAGGTGCGAAGGAAAGGTATATAGAAAAGGGGGCAATTTCGTATTTCAGAGGAGAGTAAAAAGGAACTTCGTATATTTTACACGAGTTCGAAAGGCCAGGAAGAAAAGATGGGACAGAATAAAGTAAAAAATAAATGGCTCAAAAGTAATGGAGAGGGAAAAAAAATATATTTATAATTAAAAAAAGAGCCTATAGAAAGAAAAGGAAGTAAGAGAATTTTGTTAAAAAAAAAAAAAACACGATTGTGTCCATGAGTGTAGTCAACGAAGTTGTTATCATTTACATTAAATAGAGTCTTCCAGGTGTGTGTAATGAATGTGTTTTGTAAAGCTGAATAGATGTGAAGATGGGGGAAAATTAATAATAAAATATAAATATTGGGGGTCCAGTCACATAATAGTATAAGTCTAGTTTAGAAGCTAACTTATGCTATAACAGGGAAACTAAAATTTAAAAATTTTTAAATTAAACTTTTATTTTTTAACATGAGAAACAATATGTTTGCCTCTACCTTGAGACACAGTAACAGAAGACACATAAGATCAAGCTACATATAATATCATGCAAAATTATACATTAACTTAAGTAACATCATCTATTGCGGTATCCAACATATTCATATACTCAGCAAACACTATTAGATAAAACCATAAATCTAAAACAAGGCGAGAACACATCAGCAAAAATAAATAAGTAAATAAAATACAGAGTTTTTTTTAATTTTAATATTAATTAATTTAAAAAAATAAGCATTTTATTTATTTATTAAGTTAATGGTCATAATTTATTATATGTGTACTATTTTATCAATTTGAGGCACACTGTATTAATATATGCTTTTAATTTAATTACATAGGAAATATAGATTTTAAAGGAGCAAAAACCTACAAATCTATACATTCATTGAGGGCCCAAGATCGTGTTTTTCCCTCTCAAGAAATTCCTCAAAGGGGTTCCAATGGGTAGCGCTAACAGACTACACTACTGATAAGGGCTACTGATAAGGATAGCGTCCCTACGAGATGGTAACCAAAAAAAAAAAAAAAAAAAAAAAAAAAAAAGAACCACGTGATTTAAAGCAATTACTAAGTATTTAAAGTATTTAATGCCAGAACATATTAAAATGAGCATAATAATAATGATCATAATAAATAAATGAATTTAAAGGTCTTTAGTGAACAGATATATGATTTAGTTTCAGAGAAAAGAAGTTCTACTTATCTGAATGTTCCGTCTTGGTGTTGTTAAAGATTACAAGGAAGATAAGACCTTCAGGTACAGAAAATCTTTCGGTTTTGAGAACGAGAAAATGTAGATGATATTCGCGAAAATTTTTCTTAAATAGATGAGCATTTTCTGAAAAAATTCTTTGAAAATTTAGGAGCTCTTCTAAAATCCTGCCTCCATCGTACGTGATCACAGCGCCCAGTCACAGTCCCATATAGGGCCGGATACAGTCGCAGTTATGTACAGGGATCGCAGTTATGTACAGGAATAATTACAGTTACACAGGGATCGTAACAAAATGTCGCCAAACAGTCACCAGTTCTAGCGAATTCTGGCGATTTCTCGCCAAATATGGCGACAAAAATGGTTCGCAAAAACATTGCAACCTTGACGCTATCCTCAATGTTAAATGAACTTGCCCTTGTAAACTTTGTTTCTGGAGAAGCTCCACCTCCTGAAGTCTTTGAAGTTACATTATACACGAGATACTACAATTTTAAACATAATTTTACTAAAATTATTTACATACGAAAATTTATACGAAATTCATAACATTTTTCCCTTCCCAAGGACTGCACGTCTTAGGCAGTACAATCTCTGAAGAGGAAGCCATACTTACAACTAAGAAAAATCAATACAGTACTAAAACAATAATTTCAATAATAACATACAACAAATCAAACAATAAACCATTATATAAACACATGAATTTACGAATTATACAATGCGGATTAGACACTATGGCAATAATAAGAAGCTAGCCTGTCGTATTAAACGACTTTGGGCTTACAGTTTGATACCCTACGGATCCTAATTATAACGTCGTTCAGTCTTTTTAGGATTTTGTAAAGACCGTTCACAGGGTGACTGTAGTTTAGGAAAATGCCATGCAGCCAGCCCGTTCTCGCTGGAGTCGAACCCTGGATCGTATAAGTATTCTTTAGCCGCTTTTATTTCTACGCTGCTGGTGGGCTCGTTTTTCTTCATTTCTTTTTTAAATTTGATTTTCTTAATTCTTTCCTGATAGATAATATTATATTCTTTTATGGGACTTTAACTAGCAGATGAATTTTGTAAAGAAAATTATTTAATCTCTTGTTCCCAGGAAACTACATGATAAATAATTTTTTCCCCTTTAGTTCATTAATTGTTTGATAAGTTAAAAGAAAAAAGCTTTTTTATAAAAACTCTTTTTTTTGAAAAATTTTCAGTCTGGCAATAATTCAGAATCTTTCGTCATAAATAAACAATTACATTTTTACGGCTATTTGTCCGACTTTTCCTCGCGGAACGTCTCATTGGTTTGGTGATATGTATTGCTATAGCTGAAGCGGCATTGCTTATGTGGTGCGTAAGAAATGTTTTGCTGTGATGTTAAGTGTACTCGTTGCTGTTTTGAAGAACTTCGTTCATCAGGTTCGAATTTAATCATGATGTTCGCACCTTGAAAAAATGCGTGTTTTCTTACATTGCAATTAAGATTTTTATATGAGATTATGTTTGCATTTCGTAAACTGCGTGCATAATGTATTTTCTATCTATGCTGTCTATGGTGTGTATACACTATTAGGAATATTTGCTGTTTTACTTGAAATTTTGTTGTGAATTAAAAATTACTTGGTTTTACACCTTTCTTTTATATTCGATTTATTATGTCTTAATTAATGAATTTAGCAGTTTACTGGTGTTAACTATTAATTCTATGATGCTACAGGTACATGATTCATTTCGAGGTCCTGATGAAAATACTGTCAACATGTTAAAGGTACCTACTCAGAACCGGTAAGTCAGAGAATTTTCATTGGGATATTTGATTTATAGTGTGTAATAGTTTTATGCTAATATACGTTGTATTTACAAATACAAATATACGTTGTATTTGTTGTCATCAGTAGTAAAAATTGTTCGAGTTCTCTATTTGATAAACTACATCAGAAAGAAAACTGCCTTTAAATTTATCTGTTAAACCATTTTTGATGTCAAATTAGTGTGTCTTATCCTGTATGGGTAGTTTTGCGCTTTGTATGCATAATATCCCGTAATGTTTTCATCGTGGTGTTTTGAGAGAATCGGGATTCGAAATCTCAGTCATAACAATTTGGTAAGGTCACTGGTGGAGATCATCTGTCATCACTAATTTATGAAATTTCTAAGAGCGCACGTGAACAGTAATTTTCTAAATATAAATTCTATTCTTCTTTCTGTATTCATATAAGGCTGCAGAAATTTTGATGCTTTGGATCAGTTCTGGATCCTGAAACAATTTTCCTTGGCCAGATGTAAGATGAAATAAAGAAATGCTTACTGCAGTATTTCCTGCTTATGAATTCATATATTTACTAATTTGGTAATATTTCTTTTTATGTTTTCAATATTTGTTTTACATCTGGATTAAAATTTAAAAAAATAAATAATTAAAAAAAAATACTTTACCTAACTGCGCTTGTCAAGAAGTTTTGTATTTTATGAATATCGAAATATGCCTTTAAACATGTTTGACCATTTTAAAATTATATCCTGTATTATTTTTATATTGTATGTGTGTATATTATATTATGTTTTTATATTTTGTAAAAATAAATACTATTTTTTTATTGAATGTGTCAAGAAGTATTTTTTTTTATGGTAAACGTTAAATATTCTATAGGATTTAGAGAAGTTTTACTGTCCAAAGGTAGAATGTATATAATTTTAAATTTTACATTTTATAAAAACAATTGCTGATAATCTTGAAAAATCAGTTTTTGTTATTTGTATTTAGATGTATGATTCTACAAAATAGGCACTTGAATTTTCGGTGGTTAATAAATAAGTCAAAATTCCATGTATCTAACTTGATCATGGATATAACCAAAATAGCAGCTCTCTTCATATTTTTGCTCTTAAAGAGAGCTGTTATTTTGGTTATATCCATGATTAAGTTATATACATGGATATTTTTGCTCCTTGCAAGCAAGACCTTTAAGAAGAAAGGTTATGTATAAGTTTTCTTTGAAATTAATAATTTTTCGGTTAATCTTTGGATTATGGTAACTTGGCGAAAATTTGGCAACCAACCCTGCTGCAGCAACCTGCGCGTTTTTGTTTGGACGCCATTTTGTTTTCACAAAGTAAAGGCATGGTTTTTTTTACTTAACATTTTTTTCAACAATCTGCTAGCCGAATTACGCTTATGCTAGAACTTTTATGGAACAAAAGTGCTTAATCATGACGAAGATTAGGTGCGAAATTGGGAGAAAGTGCAGAATCGCAAACTGCTTGCTGCGTTTTTAAGAATTGCACATACACGGCATCCATGTACACGCCAACCTATTTTCACTTAAAAAAACATCCTAGAATTGCACAAAAATGGCATTGCGCACACTCTTGACTTTATCTATGTACACTGCTAAAGTCCTAGCTAGTAACCTTTATCGCCTTACCAAAATGTCGCCAAACTACCTGTTACCATATTCCAAAGATTAGCCAATTTTTCTTTGAAACTAACACCAGTATACCACCAATTTTGGCTTTATTTTATATTTGATATTGGTGTGTTTTTCATCCATATATACGCAACTTAATTTCATACATTGTTACAGTTCTTTTAGTAGATCTTATCATTACAGTTCTTTTAATAGATGTGTAAAAAAAAGGTTTTTAACCATAGCTTATAATTTGAATCAAGAAGCATATGCTAGCTCTCAAACCAGTTTGTTGTAACTATATGCATGAATTTCGCTTTGTAGTAAAGTTGAAAAATAGTGCATATACTATATTTAAAAGACTAATGCATTCCATGTGTATCATTGTAAACTGTAAATTGTAAATTTTTCTGAAAGTAAGATTTAGATGGATGTCTAGTCTCAGGCTGCGTAATCAGTTAAGACTTCCTTACCTTTGATCAATAATTGTATCTGTGTCTAGATCAGGGATTCTCAACCATTTGACTAATGCATACCATTTCAACAAAAACTGAAAAACCTGCACTATATTTCATAATGGTTATTTTTAAATTTCTCAATAGAAATATTAAAAAAAAAGTATATTTTGCCATTTGCATAACCTATTGATTATTTGTATTAAGTATGCACACATAAAGAATATTAAATTAAAAATTGGTATTTTAAATTATTGAAATTTAAGTTTTAATACTTTAATTCTAAAATTTTGTGTGAAATATAGGCCTGTTTAAGAGAGATCAATTTCTTTACGTCTGGTTTTATTTTACTTAGTTTTAACCATAAATCAGGTTTCACTAATAATTTTGTTCTCTGCTTATTTTTCAAGTATAACATGGAAAAAAATACTCGTTCACTGAAATAGGTTGTGCAAAAAGGCAAGAAAAATTTAATAGCTTTATTTGAAATGCCTTTAAATTTTATTTTTTTTTTCCTCATGGTTCAGCCAAAAGTTAACAACCATGTTGTTTCCGAAATCTTCAGTTAGGGTTCGAACACAGGAAATTTCTATCAATTATTCTTTTTCTCATGAGATAAAATTTCAGGTACAGTTTAACAAATGAATTTCTAATCCAATTTTCTTTTTCATAATCATCGGGAAAATTCGTGTTGAAATTATTTATCAATGAAAAAAATGATTTTTAATGTTGAATGCTATTTTCAAATTCTTTTTGGCTAGAAAACTTTCTAAAAGTGGTAAAAAGCTTTAAATATTATTATCCAATTCTTTGATTATTAGCTTGATTTATTTTTATCATTGCATTTGGTAAACAAATTAACTCTTTGCCTTTGTAATCCTAACTTTAATTCATTTAACTTTAAAAACTATCAGCTTACTTCCAACCATAATTTACTAAACAAATAATTTTGAATTGCAGAGGAAAATTTGAATTTCTGATTGGAGTTCAAAAAGACGATTTAAAACTATGCCTCTGGATAACCACCTCACTTTGGAATGTAACAAAAGCATTTATTTCATGTTCACTGCCCATCTCTTGGTGTAAAATCCCAAATATTCTTTAATTTAAAGCTCTTCTTTTGATAAAATTAACAGTTTTCACAGCTTGGTCCAAAACAAGGTTGATCTTTACATTATGGTAACTTGGCGTTTTTTTGGCGAAAATTTGGCGACCAACTCTCCTACAGCAACCCTCTATTTTTTTTTTCCCGCCGCCATTTTGTCTTCACGAAGTAAAGACATGTTTCTTTTCTTTTTATCTACTGAACACTTCTTCCAACAATCTACTAGCCGAATTACACTTATGCTAGAAATTTTATCTAACAAAAACTGCTTAATCATGACAAATATTCACTGCAAAATTGGGAAAAAGTGCACAATACCATACTCCTTACGCGTTTTTCAAAATAACACATACACATAAACCATGTACACGCCGACTTTTTTACTTAAAAAAACATCCCAGAATTGCACAAAAATGGCATTGCGCACACTCTTCACTATATCCATGTACACTGCTTTTTTCTCATAAATTAGAAAAATTTCACGAAAATACATGACAATTTTCTCAATCTTTAAAACCCGGTAAAAAGAACATATATGAAATTACCTGATCGCGAAAAAGTATTTACCCTTTCCAAATATGAACATTTCCACATATAAAATAAATAAAATATCCAAAAACTTTTATCTCTAAATCATCTATTACATTATACACGTCACCAACGAATTCATACCGCAAGCATTACAAATACTTAGTATCAAATATTTAAATTATTTCCATGCACGTTTAACTTCAACTTAAACGTATACCAAATTCCTACAAACATAAAATTCACAAAATAACTATCATTTAATTAAAATATAAATAAATTCAAAAACACTACTTAAAATATAAATGAGCACATACATTAAATTAATAAAAATTACCTTACAATCCTAATTACTTGAAACTAAATCATTGCTAATAACAATTTTCCCAGTAATACCAAATTCCTTTACTTCCACCTTACATTTAGAACAATGCATAAAAATAATATCCTCAAATAATTAAAAATACTAACTTACCTAACCTTCTTCAGAATCTTGATTACGTGTCTGATAAACTTTTCTTTAGTTATGGCCATGGGATCCAAAAATTCACGAACACTGTTTCACACAACACAGAATAAACCAAATACAAAATTTCCAGATTTTTTTCCCGATTTCCCCCTTTTCCGATTAAAGAACCGTAATTCGTCCATTAATATCACATGACATATCCCATGATCTCTCATTTCCCTCACACAAAATAATGCGTAATCGGAACTGAGTACTGCTCACATTATTACCAAAGTCCCAGGTAGTAACCTTTATCGCCTCCAAAATGTCGCCAAACTACCAGTTACCATATTGTAAAGATCAACCCAAAACAATATTCAGGTTTTCAGGGATTGTTTTGGTTACTAAAGCTTCAAGATGAATGGAGCAGTGAGTAACCATATTTTCAGGTGCAACATTCTTTATTTCAGAAATAATACGGGAATGTTTTACTGTTGAAACCTGAGCTCCATCACTGCATACAGCAATGCGCTTATTCCAAGAAATATCATTCTCAGACATAAAATTATCAATTACTTTGAAAATTTCATTTGCAGTTGCTTTATCATGAAGAGATTCACAAAATAAATACTCTTCAGCAATTTGTTTATCTTCATCGAAATACATGTAAACTAATAATTGAACATTCATTATATAAGTACTTTTATCCAACTGCAATGTGAAATATTCTCTGTGTTTTTATTTTTTGACTGTCTCTTTTATAAAATATGCCATTAGGTGAATTTGTCGACATACCATATCATTTGATAATGGAATATTATTAAGTAATTCTGAACAGGTCT